AAAATGTAAGAAATCGATGAACGAATTGAGTCTCTGCAAATGTGGATACACGGAATTATACAAAAAAAAGTCAAACAGGGTGGATTTTTATGAATAAACAGAAAGTTCGAGATTAAAAAAAAAATAATAAATAAGTGAAATATTTCTGCCACATTAAAGGACAACACTCTTATAAGAACCATACAGGAGGGCAAGTGAACAAGAAGTAGACGGTGATACAAGAGGGAAGGTATCAAGAGATGGACGAATAGCGGAGCTCCCACTGTACAACCAGGACAATACAAGGAGTGCGTTTGAGATCCTCTGAAGCTGTGAAGCCAATCCTCACTGTGAAGATGACACCTGACTGACTCACAAACTCTGTCATTTTTTTCTTTCTTCTTTGCTTCTTGTACCACTTCGGGTGTTAAGGGAGATCAAAGGTTGTGCTTCTTGCTTTTCTGGCTGTCTCAGCAATAGACACATCATACTGTTGTAAATTTTCTTTAATGTTATCTTTCCATGTTATTCTTGGCCTACCTCATGCTTTGTCTTTCTCATGTGTGTTAGTGTGTGTGCGCGCGCATGCGTTTGTGTGTGTGTACACTGCATGGTAATGTGTCTCACGGCCTTCTCTTTAAGTGAGCTAACCATTTTATTTACAAACTCAGTTATGTTGTACGGACACGAGACTTGTTACAAACACGATTCTGCTGCATCCTTTATTCAGGCAATATGTTATTTGTTACAAACTCAGTTATGTTGTACGGACACGAGACTTTTTACAAACACGATTCTGTTGCATCCTTTATTTAGGCAATATGTTATTTGTTACAAACTCAGTGCTGTTGCATTATTCCGGTGATATTTAATTTAATTTAGTGATAGTAAACTCTTCATTACATTTTTAAAAAAGTTATTTTAAATCACATATGTACAAGAGATGGCCAGAAGCATCCAATTATGATACATTAGTATATAAATAACCATAGCCGCACATAGGGTGTGTTTACAGGGGAGAACCCATACATATACTCACACAGTTTTTACAGAGGAGACACCACACACATACTCATACATAGTCAGTTTTAGAAGAGAAACCATACATGTGCATACTGTTACAAGGGAGACACCACACATATACTCACACATAGTCAGTTTCAGAAGAGAAACGGTATATGTACCTACTGTTACAAGGGAGACACCACACATATACTCACACAGTCAGTTTCAGAAGAGAAACGGTACATATACCTACTGTTACAAGGGAGACACCATATATATACTCACACATATTCAGTTTCAGAAGAGAAACAGTACATGTACCTACTGTTACAAGGGAGATACCACACATATCTCACATACTGCAGGAGGCACCAGACATACACGGAAGAAACCAAACATGTACTCACAATAGTCAGTTACAGTGTATATGATGCTGAAAACTGTCATAATGCACAAAACACACAATAGAAAGGGTCATCATCACACAGGAAATACACAAGGGGATCCATGTTGACAACTGAAACACACAGCCATCCTCATGGAAAACACACAACAGGATCCACGGATGACCACGCAGAGAAGCACTCCCACACAATTGTAAGAAGCATGGCACAGAGAAGAACTCCCACACAATTATAAGAAGCACGGCACAGAGAAGCACTCCCACACAATTATAGAAAGCATGACGCAGAGAAGAACTCCCACACAATTATAGGAAACATGGCACAGAGAACCACTTCTACACAATTTATAGGAAGCATGGCGCAGAGAACCACTCCCACACAATTATAGGAAACATGGCGCAGAGAACCACTCCCACACAATTATAGGAAACATGGCACAGAGAAGCACTCCCTCATAATTATAGAAAACATGGCACAGAGAAGCACTCCCACACAATTATAGGAAACATGGCACAGAGAAGCACTCCCACACAATTATAGGAAACACGGCACAGAGAAGCACTCCCATACAATTATAGGAAACATGGCACAGAGAAGTACTTCCACACAATTATAGGAAACACGGCACAGAGAACCACTCCAACACAATTATAGGAAACACGGTACAGAGAACCACTCCAACACAATTATAGGAAACATGGCACAGAGAAGCACTCCCTCATAATTATAGGAAACACGGCACAGAGAACCACTCCCACACAAATATAGGAAACATGGCACAGAGAACACTCCCATACAATTATAGGAAACTATGGCACAGAGAACCACTCCCACACAATTATAGGATACGTGGCACAAAGAACCACTCCCACACAATTATAGGAAACATGGCACAGAGGACACTCCCACACAATTATAGGAAACATGGCACAGAGAACCACTCCCACACAATTATAGGATACGTGGCACAAAGAACCACTCCCACACAATTATAGGAAACAGGGCACTGAGAACCACTCCCACAAAATTATAAGAAACATGGCACAGAGAAGCACTCCCACACAATTATAGGATACATGGCACAGAGAACCACTCCCAAACAATTATAGGAAACATGGCACAGAGAAGCACTCCTACACAATTTATAGGAAGCATGGTGCAGAGAAGCACTCCCACACAATTATGAAAAGCATTTCGCAAAGAGAAGCACTCCCACACAATTATAGGAAACATGGCACAGAGAACCACTCCCACACAATTATAGGAAACATGGCACAGAAAACTACTCCCACACAATTATAGAAAGCATGTCGCACAGAGAACCACTGCCACACAATTATAGGAAACCTGGCACAGAAAACCACTCCCACACAATTATAGAAACATGGCACAGAGAAGTACTTCCACACAATTATAAGAAACATGGCACAGAGAAGTACTTCCACACAATTATAGAAAACATCGCACAGAGAAGTACTTCCACACAATTATAAGAAACATGGCACAAAGCACTCCCACACAATCGCAGAAATCGCAGTATAGAGAACCACTCCCACACATTTACAGGAAACCTGGCACAGAAAACCACTCACACACAATTATAGAAAACATCGCACAGAGAACCATATCACACAATTATAAGAAACATGGCACAGAAAACCACTCCCACACAATTATAGGAAACATGGCACAGAGGACACTCCCACACAATTATAGGAAACAGGGCACAGAGAAGCACTCCCACACAATTATAGGATACATGGCACAGAGAACCACTCCCAAACAATTATAGGAAACATGGCACAGAGAAGCACTCCTACACAATTTATAGGAAACATGGCACAGAGAAGCACTCCTACACAATTTATAGGAAGCATGGTGCAGAGAAGCACTCCCACACAATTATGGAAAGCATGTCGCACAGAGAAGCACTCCCACACAATTATAGGAAACATGGCACAGAGAACCACTCCCACACAATTATAGGAAACATGGCACAGAAAACTACTCCCACACAATTATAGAAAGCATGTCGCACAGAGAACCACTCCCACACAATTATAGGAAACCTGGCACAGAAAACCACTCCCACACAATTATAGAAAACATGGCACAGAGAAGTACTCCCACACAATTATAAGAAACATGGACACAGAGAACCACTCACACACAATTATAGGAAACATGGCACAGAGAAGTACTCCCACACAATTATAGGAAACACGGCACAGAGAACCTCTCCCACAAAATTATAGGAAACATGGCACAGAGAAGTACTCCCACACAATTATAGGAAACACGGCACAGAGAACCACTCCCACAGGATTACACATAACATGACAGAGAGAATCATCACACATAATTACAGGAGACACAGCACAGAGAAACCAACTACTCCAACACAATTATAGGACACAGAGAACCATCCCACTTCTACACAGTAAAACATGGCACAGAAAATCAAGCATCCTATACCATTAAAAAAAAAAAACATGCAACCATTATGTACAGCCCTATTAATAAAGAACAAAATTACAACATGGAAAAAAAAAAAAAAAAAAACTACCTGATAAGTCCAAAATCATACACATTCACTGAAGTCATCCAGGAGGCACACTGTAGCAGTGTCTCCAGTGGGGGGGGGGGGGGGGGGGGGGGGGGGGGGGGATTTTTGCATCTCTCAATGACCTTAAAAGCTACAACCAGGGTGGGGGGGGGGGGGGGGGGCACAACTGTGTACACTTTTTTTTTTTCAAAACTGATATCTAAGCAGAGATAAACAGAAGAAGATGACATCTGCAACAAGGAAACTCATGGGTTCAGAATGCTGAAGAAGAAGAAGAAGAAGAAGCAGAAGAAAAGAACAAAAAAAGGAACAAGAAGCAGAGGTGTTAGCACACTTGTCTGCCAGCCTGGCTGTCATGAGTTCAAATTCTTGCTGAAGAGGGTAATTTTGACAAACTGACCTAGGCTTCCAAGAGGTTAGCTGAACTTGGGTAATAGGAATTGTTCTGGGCAGTAAAGGTGGCTGGCATAATACTAACCATATAACCCACTTAATGCCGACTGGCAGAATATATCTAATAAAACATGAAAAAGGTTCTGTTACTTTTAGTAATGCTGTACAAAATGATCATCTGCCTGTATACTTTCAGTATATATATTGTGGGGAAAGGGGGGGGGGGGGGGGAGGGGGAATAATACTACTGAAAGGAACATACTTTTGTGATAATTTTAACATTCAAAATCTGTGCATATTGGTGAGTGAAAATGTTTAAACTGTACACAAGAATACCTTAGGTTGGAACCAATTAACTGAGTTCTTTTGCATCGCTTTCATGAATGGTTTATAGGCATGTTGACTAATATAATGCCATGTGATAATTATGGTTTCTTGTTTTGTTTCTGTTTAAACAGTATAGAATGACCAACTCAGCACTCTGGGAGAGAACTAAGCAAATTCCAGTAAGTCAACAGGTGAGGAAAAGATGCTGGATAGTCTGAGAAAGCCTTAAAATAATATAACTAGAATGTCTTTACACTGGAAGCCACAGCGGCATATAAATAAAGGCTTACCAAAATACTCAAGGGGAAGGGAGCTACAGAGCTAAGTTACAGAAGGGGAGGACATGGGGTGAGCTGCATGCGACAGCAGGGGAGGACATGGGGTGAGCTGCATGCGACAGCAGGGGAGGACATGGGGTGAGCTGCATGCGACAGAAGGGGAGGACATGGGGTGAGCTGCATGCGACAGCAGGGGAGGACATGGGGTGAGCTGCATGCGACAGCAGGGGAGGACATGGGGGTGAGCTGCATGCGACAGCAGGGGAGGACATGGGGTGAGCTGCATGCGACAGCAGGGGAGGACATGGGGTGAGCTGCATGCGACAGCAGGGGAGGACATGGGGTGAGCTGCATGCGACAGCAGGGGAGGACATGGGGTGAGCTGCATGCGACAGAAGGGGAGGACATGGGGTGAGCTGCATGCGAGTCAAGGGGAGGACATGGGGTGAGCTGCATTGAGAAGCAAGGGAGGACATGGGGTGAGCTGCATGCGACAGCAGGGTGAGGATAGGGGTGACTGAGGGTAAGTTGGTTCAGGGGAGCTGCATGCGATACTCAGGACTGGGGTGAGCTGCATGCGACAGCAGAGGATAGGAATGGGGTGGCTGCAGCGACAGCAAGAGGATCGGACATGGGGTGAGCTGCATGCGACAGCAGGGGAGGACATGGGGTGTATGCATGCGACAGCAGAGGATAGGACATGGGGTGAGCTGCATGTACAGCAGTTATATATATATATGCAAACACAACCCTTCATATATACACGCATACATAAAATATAATCTGTGCATATAAAACTATCATGTATGCATACATAATAGATAAATCTATCATTTTCATCCATACATTCTGTGTAAATAAAACTTTCATGTATGCATACACAGTATATAAATTTATAATTTCCACACACATATTCGTTATATAAAATGATGACTTACATGTACACATTCTGCATATATTTTTTTAAAAACACGTTTATTTAAAAAAAAAAAAAAAATACTATCCTACGACAGATACTGCCACTGGGATGTCAAGCATAAAATCTTTACATATTCTAGGACACGACAATTGAGGTCCGCCAGTTCCCTTCCCTGCCACCTTTTCCTTCCCGGACAAATAACCATACAATTCTAGAAACCACCTAGTAGCCATTTTTGTGAAGCTGTGTCAACCTCAGAGCCATAATGGTCAGGAGGAGAGACTCCTTTCAGTTCTATGGTTTAAGCCTAAACCTATTTCAGCGGGCAGAACTACTCAACCACTCTGCCACAGTGTGTGTGTGTGTGTACGTAGGCATGCACGCACACATGCTCGCACACATACACACAGAGGGTAGGGCTATAAGTTTCCATATATACGAAGATAAAAAAACATTACAAGCATAACTCCAGCTGTGTTTATACTTGTTCTTCAGTGGTGAAGGACACTCACAGAAACCTGTTTTCCATGTAGAGCTTATTTAAAATTTAAAAAATAATTTTTGTTTAAAAGAGTAGTCATTAAAAAAAAATATAAATGTGTGCACAGAAACTTATGGGACAACCCCTGCCTGCATGTGCAACCACATGCATGCATGCCCACACGCACACACGAGCATGCACGCACACAAGCACATACTCACCCAGACATGTTTATTCAGCATAAGCAATTAATAATGCACACATCCTCACTCAGTATACCGCTATCATTTACACTCACAGATCTCATTTTTACAACAGTCATTTACAGAAAAACATTCTGTATCTAAAATGATCATATTTATAGGCACATTCTACACATAGAACAAATGTTAACATACATGTATACACACACACACACAAGTCAGTAAGTAGACCGGTCATATGCACAGGTAATATGCCATGTTCAGCATGATCATTTACATAAACATATGCCACATACAGCCTGACTGACCATTTACATAAACACGTGCCACATACAGTTTGAGCATTTGCAGACATGTTGCATATAGCATCACCATTTACACATATTCTTGTATGACATAGACATTTACACATGTTCTGTTTATGGCATGGGCATTTACACATATTCTATTTATGATATGGTCATTTACACATGTGATGCTTATGACATAGACATTTACACATGTTATATTTATGATATGATCATTTACACATATTCTGTTTATGGCATGGTCATTTAAACATGTTTTGCTTATGAAATGGACATTTACACATGTTCTGTTTATGGCATGGTTATTTATACACATTCTGTTTATGACATGGACATTTACGCGCATTCTGTTTATGACATAATCAATTACACACACTCTGTTTATGGCAGAGACATTTACACATGTTCTGTTTACGACATTGACATATGTGCTATTAATTACATTGACACAAGTTCACAAATATAAGCCACACACAGTATGTGTGTTCCATGTCTGACACAACCATTTCCACAAACAAACACAATATATAAATCAAACCATTTAAACATGTTCATAAATATAAGCCACAACAGCATATCTATGCCTTGTAAATTTACACAAACATATTCCCTTCCCGAAAAGACAACAGAGACATATACGGATATTTAAACACAACAGCATATAAAACAACCATTGAAACATATGTACTAAAAAATAATATTTACGCACACATTCGTAATCAGAATTTAATGTACAAAAATAGCCATTTAAAACATATAACAATCATTTACACCAGTGGTTTTCACAATCTTTTTCAGGTAAACCCCCCCCCCCACCCCTAATATGTGACAAGATCTCCACCCCCCAAAGACAAATTCCACGCACTATAACAAGAACTTAAAGAAAAATATCCATATAAATCAAAGCGCCAAATAGCTAATTAGATGTTTAACAGGGCAGATGCACAAACAGCTCATGAAAACAAAAACGACCCTGGCTTTTTCTTTTCCTAATTGTTGAAAACCACTAATTTAGACAGACAAGTTAATATCAAAAATACAAAACATATATTCTGTCTATGAACTTGTATTGTATTAATGATCTGTCTATGAACTTGTACTGTACTAATGATCTGTCTATGAACTTGTATTGTATTAATGATCTGTCTATGAACTTGTATTGTACTAATGATCTGTCTATGAACTTCTTCTTCTTCTTCTGCCTTTCTATCCCCCAATGGAGCATAGGCCCTCAACCAACTCACGCCAAGTCGTTCTATCCTTCGCCATTGCATGGAGCTCTCCCCATGTCCTCCCAATCTTTCTAACCTCGTTCTCCAGCTCTCTTCTAAATGTGTTTTTTGGCCTTCCTTTATTCCTATGCCCCTGTGGGTTCCAATGCAAAGACATTCTAGTTATGCTGTTCTCCTGTTTTCTCAGTGTGTGCCCTATCCAACGCCAGCGTCTTTTCCTCACTTCCTGATCCACTGGAGCCTGTTTAGTTCTCTCCCAAAGTTCTACATTAGTTATTCTATCATACCATTTTATTCCCTCTATTCTGCGCAGGCACCAGTTAATGAATATCTGTAATTTATTAGTAATTGCCTTGGTTGTTCTCCATGTTTCCGCCCCATACATTAGTCCTGATTTGACATTAGAATTAAAAATTTTTAGTTTAGTATTTCTTTTAATTTCTTTTGACCTCCACAAATTCCCTAGTTAAATGAAAGCCCCTCTTGCCTTTTGTATTCTTATTTTAATATCTCTATCAGTTCCTCCATCTTTATCTACATTACTGCCCAAATAGGTGTATGACTCCACGTCCTTGAGTGGGGTGCCATTAAGAGAAACCACATTCCTATTTGCCTAATTTATTCTCATTATCTTTGTCTTTCCTTTATGGATTTTCAGACCAAGCTGCTGTGATCTCGCATTAAGTATATTTAATTTATCTTGCATCTGATTCCGTGAATGGGACAGAAGAGCAATATCATCAGCGAAGTCCAGATCATCAAGCTGTTTTGTAGGGGTCCACTGAATTCCATTCTTGGTGTTAGCAGTTACTGTTTTCATAGTCCAGTCTATAGCCAGTAAAAATAAGAGAGGCGACAAAAGACATCCCTGTCGCACATCTGTTTTTATTTCAAATGCATCTGTTAGCTTTCCCTCATGAAGAACTCGACATTTCATGTCTTTATATGTTGCCTTTACTAAGTTGATAATTTTCTGTGGGATTCCATAGTGCCCCATCAATTTCCAGAGAGATTTCCTATCTATGCTGTCAAATGCTTTTTCATAGTCTATAAATCCAATGTAAAGTGGTGAGTTCAGTTCAATGCTTTGCTCTATTATAATACGTAATGTGGCTATCTGATCAGTACAGGATCTGTTTGACCGAAAACCTGCCTGCTCATCCCTTAGCATTTTATCAATAGCATCTTTTAATCTTTCCAAAATAATTCTACTTAATATTTTTCCAGGAACTGACAGCAACATAATTCCTCTATAGTTTTCACACTCCTGTAGATCACCTTTTTTTTGTCTATGAACTTGTATTGTACTAATGATCTGTCTATGAACTTGTATTGTATTAATGATCTGTCTATGAACTTGTATTAATGATCTGTCTATGAACTTGTATTGTACTAATGATCTGTCTATGAACTTGTATTGTACTAATGATCTGTCTATGAACTTGTATTGTACTAATGATCTGTCTATGAACTTGTATTGTACTAATGATCTGTCTATGATGGGGTTCAGAGATCTGATCCTCACTTTCAACATTTCAGCCCCTGATTAACCTTAAGCTGACAGGCCCTGATGTGATGCAAGTGCCAGCGTTACCAGGGTCAACAGCAGAAGCAAGCAACAGTAACACTGTAACTAATCATGCATGCCACACAAGGCAACTATGAAATTTTCACAGAAAACTTGAGTGCCAAATTCAACCATAAATAAAGAAGTTTACAAAAAGGGCTGGCTAAGGTTCTATGTTCCACTGGGAGAGGTCAGTAACACTAATTGATCTGTATAACATAAATCTGTCATCTAGTATTCTAGCCACAGTTCTTGTATCTCATTACTTTACATAAAGTGGTAATCCGGCACTTTAGCAACAGTTGCAATATATCAATACCTAATTTAAATCTGTAACCCAGCACTTTTAACAGTTACTCCGTCCCAGCCTTTGTATCTGTACACATATTACAGTGCACAGTAACAATTATTGTACCATATTTCCAGTATCTACATACCATACATATATCTGTTATACAGCAGTTTATCCTCATTACAACTCCAATATCTACATACCTTACATACACCTGCAATTCAGTGCTTTAAAAAGTACCCTAATGCAGCTCTGCTATCTACATACCTTATTTAAACCTACAATTCCACAGTATAACCACAACATCAGTATCTACATACCTTTTTTAAATTTGTTTTACAGTCTA